GGTGTCCAGTCGTCCGGATCACCGCGAATGGAGACTGACTGTCGAGCAATTTCTGTACCGGTTCCAATAACACTGGACCATAATTACCTTTCGGAGATGCAGTTGGGAGAGACATATTTGGCAACGGCAAATACTGTAATTTCAAAGAGCACGTGAATCGACTTTTAATACAGATATTTGTTATGCGTTTCCGGTAACCAATAAGAAGCAATCTTTTTTATAAAATTTGTAATAACAAACAAAGAATGTGATAGTGTACAAAGAAAATCACGTACGAGACCGACAACGTCCCTTATAGCAAAGTATTTATCTGTCGGATCTCCGGCTTCGGTCAAAGGAGCATCGTAATCGTACGAAGTCAATTGTGGATTGTACACGTTTCCCCCACCATTAGCTCCTGTGGTGGAATAATAATCGATGAGTAAAGTACATTTCCTGATATAATTTCATTAACTGCACCGATAAAGCGTTATTTTTATCAAAATTTTATTTGCTGCAATTCATGAAATTAATAAAAAGTTTACTAACCAGAAGTGAAACCGAAGTTTGTACCTCCATAAAACATGTAAAAGTTAACGGAAGCACCTACAGCAAGCATTTCTTTCAACGTTTTTATAACAGGTTTTGTTTTTACTCTCTTCATGGTGTCTCCCCAATGCGTAAACCAACCTGGATAGAATTCAGAATTCACCAATGGGCCCTACGCATCAATTTTCAAATTTGATCAAACATCTTAATTTTAATTAACTAGACGTCCACAGACGCGCGCTACGCGCGCGCTATTTATCTTTAATATTTTACTGTTATTATTATACTATTAACCGTGCTATTAATCACACAACTATCAAAATATGCCATGACAGCCACTCATAAAGTAAGCAGAAAGAGAACCAATCGACATCGCGGAAAAACGACAACAATACTTCGATAGATTCGAGTATCAATGGCATGCTTTTTCTAGAAGAGGATTAATTAGTGATTTCTTAAACACAATATCACTTACTCTTGGCTGATAAAGGCGCATAATCTGAAAGGTATTAGTCACATTGCTGATGCCCGATCCAAAATTGATGGTTGCATATGCACCAGGTACGAATCCGCATCGAAGTAAAGACGCGGATGCACCGTCGGCTGTATACAGAAGAGCTTTATTGCCAATTTTTTTTACGAAAACTTCTTTTAATATGTCCGTGTACTCTGTGTCGCAAGCCTTGTAACTTCCGTATTCGTTTTCTACCTATTAATGTAATTAAAATTAGGACAACAGTATTAAAATGATAGTAATAAAGTTGATAATTGACACGTAAAGATAAAAATATTAAAAAGCATATCTGTGATAATTTTTTCAATTTCTTCAAATCTGCTTTAATAATTGTCAATTGTATTGTTGTTTATCGATTGTTATTGACTTGTTATTGGCTGCGTTCAGCGTTTATTTTGCAACTATTGGAAGTTTTTTGAGCTCAAATTGGGTTATTCCTCTAGATCTAAAAGAATAATCCAATCTGAACTCAGAAAACTTCCAACAGTTGCAAAATAAACATTCTGCTGAACGTGGCCATTGGCTTGTTATCAGCACAGAGTAGTGATAACATCATAAAGCGATAATGTCTGGAGCAATATTAATTATTACTTATCTCGAAAACGTAATAAATATTTTAAGAGATAAACATAATGTTACACATAAGTTACATAATCATAATATTTCTTAATCTCGTAAATAGGTGTTACCTGAACCATAATTACTGGTCCCCCATTACCCCTTAAAAGTGGCTCTACTTTATCCAGTACTTGATTTAGATACAATGTAGCATATCTCATGAAATCTGTAGAAACAGATAAAATTTTAAATAATAAAATTGGATTCTACAATTGGCTGTAGTGTAATATCATTTTATCAATATATTTTAATATATTTTGCATCTTTAATATATCAATTTAAAATATGAAAAATGGTAAAAAAGGCAGAATTAATTATTATGGAAAATAAAAAGATTCTTACATAATAAATCACCTTTACCTCGCCAGTCAAATAATAAACAACAATGGAAATATTAATCGATTCTACTAGCCATTATAATGGCCAAGACAATACGACCACGATTTGTTTCGATTATCGTCAAGACGCTCTTTTAAACAATATAAATTGATGTAATCTTTGATACTTGTATATAAGCATCTCATTTAAATAATTAAAAAAAAAAGATTCTTATCTCTTATCATGAAAGTAGCGGATTGTTATCAATTGACATCTCAATTTTATATCGAGCGATTTGTTCGGAAATAAAATACATTTAATTTATTGTAACAAATATCATATATTATAAAACGGCATATATTATACCCGAAATCATAATAAGAGCAATAATATATAAATTTTCTATTTCTTCACAAATTTATTGCCACATAAAAAATGGCAAATATTTTTCAAAGCCCGAAACATGTTTTTATATACTAATCCCATGAAACAGATTATAGCTTACCTGCATCTTTTGTGCGGAACTTCATATTCGGTACTTCGCGAAGCAACCAATACGGTAAACCACCCTAAAGGTATGTCAGGATTATTAAGATAATAAAATAATATTTTTAAAATTTTACTATATATAATTTAAAAAAAAGTAAAGAGACGAATTTTTATGTTTTGCCTCAGATATGAAAGAACAGATTGCAAAAGACAACTAGTTACGCCAGTAATTTTATACTAAACAATTAATGTATATATTTATTTACCAAGTCTCTTTCCGCGCAAATATAAGGACCCGGTCGCAATAACACGAGCAAATCTTCCTCTTGTGCAATATTTATGAAATTTACTAGATCTGCGTCGCCGGCCCAATTAAATTGACCTGGTTCTGGTTCGTGAAAGCTCCATTCAACATAACTGTATATCGCGAGGGGAAAGAGACAAATTTAATTATTCGTCGATTAGTTTGCGACATTATTTTAAACTTCATAAACAGTTAAAAGATCTACGTATCTTAAAAGATCTTACGTATTATATCGATGTACTTAACTCCCTGACAACAATGTAAATACTATCTTGTATTATCATATAAATTACAAAACGTGTAAATTACAAATTACGAGATTTAACTTACGTGGAGACAGCGTTAAGTCCCGCGGCTCGCATTTTCCTTAAACGATCTCTCCAGTATTGTCTAGGCGCTCGAAAATAATGAAAACTACCGGAAACATATCGGAAGGGTTTTCCATCCAATAAAAACTGATTGTTCTCGTAATCGACTTCGAAACCGTATCGCCATTCTGTATCCTGCAATCATTTGTTCTGAACTCTTGCTAACAATAAGTAAAATAATTTTATAAAAAGCGATGCATTAATAGTTAAACTTCTAGCTAGAATATCGCTTAGTCCAATCATTTTTACACAATATTTTATTATATTTGTATTATATACCTACTTAAGAGACATTTTGGGCTTATTTTTATACATTTTTTTTTCGCGATTCAATTAATGTCATGCATTTTTATAATTTATGTAGAATATCATGTGGCATTCAAGTTATTGATGCAGTCTTTTGTGTCATAAATGTATATAATTTTCGTTATGTTTTTTCGAGCCGGCTTTAGCGGAATTGTAATTGAAAGCTAGGTCATCATCGGAGGTCGGTTATTGTACGGCCAGTTGATTGTCAGTCTCTCTCTTCATCTTCTAACTTTGACCGGTATCATTATCCCGACTCCGATAAGTTAATCATAGAGATAAATACATTCTCACAGAAACATGTAAGTAACGCAACAGACATTCTGTAATATTTTTCTATCGCTTCTCGCAATGAGAACACGAATAAATACATACATGTACGTAATTTCATGTGTAAATCTTTTTTTGTTTATCGAAACATACCATTTTGCTTATAATTTAAATACATGTTTAAACCTCATTAAAAAATTTAACCAAACAATCTTTTTAGTTAAGAAGGACATAAAAAGATCTTAAAGGTTTAGTACGCTTTAAATACAAATACACGTTTATTTATATGTCTATGTAAAAAATGAATTTAAATTCAAGTAAGGGCCAGCGCCTTTACGAACATTGCCGTAGCATCTTACGCCTTACTTGAAAATCTTGCGTTATGCGACACGCAAGCCAATCTTACGGCAACGCACGAAAAGCGCCACGTAACGTACGTAACATAGGATTAATTACGTTACGTTTTTCTTTATGCGTTGCCGTAAGATTATCTTGCTTGTCGTGTAACGCAAAATTTTCATGTAAGGCGTAAGACGCTACGGCAATGTTCGTGCGCTGGCCCTAACATATCAGTTCCATTCAATCAGCGATGACTATATCTGGAATACGAGATCGAGGACAATTGTTAATCGGTCAGAATCAATCTTTATAACTTGATTGAAATTTTATGATTTATATCCGAGCGTACTTCATGTGTACGAACTATGCATGAATTAATGTTGTATTTTATTATATTAAATCAAATGCAATATTCTATTCAATACACATTATTTTTACTTTCTAAACAGTATCGACAATTATAAGAATTTTGATTGATATTTTTTTCTTAATTTAAAAAAGTCTGGGATAAAAAGTATAACCTGCCAAATCCTATTTATCTTTCAAAAAGTTAGAGAATTTCTCTATTTCAAAATTCTTTCTCTTTTTCTAAAACTGTTGCCACCATTAATTTCCGGTTAAGCGATCAGTATCAACTGACAGACTATATTTATCTGCTTTCCTCTTACAGTTGTATCCGCTTTCGGCACATCTGTACATTTATGTGCCACATTTTTATATGCAAACAAATTTAGATAAAATTATTTTAATCAGAAATTTTAATTAAATAGAAAATGAAGGAAAGTCTATTATATATATTTCAGAGAAAACGAATAGTAGCGTACCGCAAAATTGTAGATTTGTATAATATATATATATATATATTGAACATATAAAATATAAAAAAATTATACAATAGATAGCATTCAACATACGTTACTCGGTAAGTTAACTGTCTTCGATATAGCGCTACCGAATGCCAAAGTTGTCACAAGCAGAGTCGTCAATGACCACATTTTTGAATAAATCTTTTCGTCGTACTTCAGTTGCACTCTTCTATACGCCTGTTAATTCACTATCCACGCTCGCGCGTCACTGACGATTTGACGGATTTGACGGTGTGCCTATATAATAAGCCGGTATCAGACTACGCATTGGAGATTAAGATTACAGATTGAAAATTAAAGATTGTTTAATTACACTAGCAACGCATTGAAGATGAGATTAAAGATTGAAGATTAAAGATTGTTCAGAGCATTCTGAGCTATCAGATTACGCATTGGAGATTAAGATTACGAATTAAAGATTAAATTTTGACCAATCAGAATGAAGTAGCCCAAGAGTGAAATTAGGAATTGAAAATTTTAGTTCAATCTATTTTTTAAATGTTTAATAGCAATTTCAGCCAATAGCCGTCTGACTTTTAGTCACGTTATAGTTGCGCGGTGTTTCGCGATGTTTTCGTTCTCTAGACTACTTGAGAACCTGAGAACGTGAGTTACCTTAGATCTTTTAACAATATCTATAGTAACAATAAAATTATTTTTACAGGTATGGATCTTTTAATCTAAGTATGTTTTCAATTCCGTTTCTGAAACTTCCAATCATGAAACTCACCACGGTGGAACAAAGAACTTTTTAATTTTTTAATATTATACCGCTGAAGATGGCTCAAACTTGAACCAAAACGTACGGATTGATTGATGTAAAACATAAGTAATAAATCTATTACAGCCTTTTCTAATTTTATTATTTAGCGATTTGTATTTTATATATTAATTAGCTTACAAGAAATCGCGCGCGTTTTATAAAACTTAATTATCTCTTAAAATATTTACCTACAAATATTTCAAGAAAGAATAAATTTTTTTAAAACTTTACAAGCTTTAGGTTAAACAAAATTAAACATATTGAATGTATAATACTACATTAGACACAGTCGTGTTTATCGTTTAAAGATAAACTGTGCAGAATGAAGCGTTGAAATACATTCTTGCGCCGCTATACGTCGCAAATGTTGAGTTGTTGGAAATTTAACTCTAACTCTTTGTTATCAATTGCGATAACAAATTATTATCTGTTTTTACTTCAGTTGATGCAAAAACTTTAATATAAATTTTATATTTAAAATTTTAGTAAAAATAATTAATTATATCCCAAATATAATTATTCATACATATATTAAATTAATATTATAATATATATTAGATTTATAAATAGAGAAATGATACAATTTTATGATACAGTTTTATTAATTTATTAATATAAATTGCAAAACCAACGCTAAAGATTCTCTTTTTCTCTCGATTTTTTCTCTACCTCAAAGTCTTACATCATTTCTCTACCTCAAGTCATTTTCAATAAAGTTTGGTTAATGCTTTCTTTTCATTCCATTTCATTAATTAATTAATTTATTAACTCTGCTTTATTTTTTCGTTTAGATTTTTATCATTGTTGATTTCTTTTTTATTTTATGCAAAAGCGACATCACAATTTTTACACGTAGCGCGTGCTGAAAAACATCGCAAAGACATACTTTTTAAGACATTTTTAAGTCTTTACCAAAATACGTCTCAAAATTTTTTGAAAATTATAATCTTTTATAAAATAATCTTTTTGGAGCACATACAGCTATTTACATTATCGACTGTAACATTTATTGATTGAAATATATAGCGGCGTGTCCAATCTGGATGTGACATAGCACATAAAACTATTATTATTTGTTATTAGTTAAAATTTTTGGCATTCTTTTATTATTTAATGTCACAACGATACAATTAAAGCGACAGAAAATGCGTTAACAAGAAAAACGTAAAACAGGAAATAAAATTATTTGATAAATTAATATGTCAATAATTTTATATTTACATAATTTTGTTAATAACAAAAATTGATCTCAATCTATTATAATATCTCATAATCTGGTGTCATAATATTTTATTCAGAGTCCTGTCCATAATGTGAATAAAAGGAAGAGATAATAAATTCTTTATGAAATTAAAATACTTGAAATGATATAGTTTATTTTACTTTATTCCTATTTATATCCTCTTATTATTTTCAATTTTCAAAAAATTTCATTTTTGCTGTTCAAAGTCCCTAAACTATCTCAAAATCATTATACAAATGTTTTCTGATACTTTTATAAAACAGCCTCGAAATTTTAGAATATATATTTCTTAGATAACTTAACTCTCAAAACATCGTAACGTTTTCTGGATTAATATTATCAAATATTTATTACGATTGTACTAAAAAGATTTGTCAAAACATCAAATTTTAATAATCTATCTAAAAAGATTAAAATTCTTCTATTAAAACTGTAAATTTTAAATCGCTTATATCAATATTTATTAAATTATGTTTTATACAATGCACTTTTTCGTTGGCTAATATCACAGAGAGAAATATAATATAAAGCTTCAGTTATGCTACATATAGTTAGACGGTGAGGAGGTATCTAACGACGTTTAACCAGACACACGATTCGGGCATTATTATTATATAAACTCGTATCCTGGTTACACACGAGTGATTTAGAAACTTTGAGGTCATCAAGCATTTGTCGTGATGAAGGATAATTGAGATGGTAGTATAAAGATATATATCATATTCGGCAATTCTTATTAATTGGTAGGTTTCCTCATTCTTACATTTAATACAGGTTGTTACTAAAATATTCGGACAAACTTGAGACGCGACTTTTGAATTACGAGTAACACAATCACAGAGCAATAAAATTTAAGAAGACGTATGAAATCGATGATGCGCCTTGAATACTGTTATAAAAATTTTGACAATTCGTGTAACTTTGAGTCTTACAAAAATCAAATCGTATCATTAAAACGCTGTAAGAACAGCGGCCGCATCGTTTCTTCGATTAGCATGCGGTGGTCAACAAATTTGTGACAATTAAGCCACTTAATGCAGATGGCACACGTGGAAATGTCTTGTACTCTCTCTATGCCTTGTACGCATTTGGCATTCGCATACTCGCAAATATTTTTTAAGAGACTAAGTTAATTGGGGTTAATGGAGAAGCAACTGTGCTGCAGCAGCTTTTGCACATTTGATAATCGGGTGTATTTAATATTCACGTATAATTCAGGATTACGTAGTATGTCTTCCCAAGAAGTGTAAGAAAGCTAATTAGTTACTCTTTATAATTTGTTGAATAATTTATTTAATTTTCTTTCACGAAACAAGTAGTTTTTCTTGTTGAAAAATTTAGAACAATTAATATTTTTTATAAAAAAGTATAAAAAATATCGATTTTTTCGTTAATCTTAAATTGTTTTATGTAAGCTAACATATATTAACTTATCAATATGTAAGTAATAGCCTAAATAATCAAATTATCAAGTTGTGTCTGAAATAATTATCTACCCTTTATAAAAACTGTTTTCTACATTGTATTTTATATTCTGTAATTATAATTTTTGTTAAAATCTTAAATTTTTATAAACTTATATTCCCGTGTCTCTTGATACTTTTGGTATATTATACAATAGATATAACATAAATGAAAAAAAATTGCATTTAATTTGCAATTTTTATTATTTACGTAATCAATAGCCAAATAATAACTGAAAATAAAATATTAAAAATATACGAATACATACGTTATTAAACGTACACTTTGGTTCTAAAATATTCTTATCAAATATTTGTGCGCTTTTATTTGAAATATAGTATTCATGTAGCTCCACATAATCTTTTTATCAGAAAAATCCAGTGTAATTTTCGAATGCGCTTTATTTCTGAAAAAAATGGTCTCATTCAAAAAGATCAATTATAGTTTTCTCTAAAAAAAAGTTTCTCTTCCTTGATGTTAAAGGTTATGTAAAATTAAATTAGGAATAAGCTTATATCATTTTTTTTAGATGTTTAAAATTCAATTAGCAGTAGAGTCTTTATTTTTAAGCACTTGAAACTTCGAAATCTTGATGGCATTTTCCCAAGAGCATTTCTCTCTCTGATTATAAAGAATATTTCAAAGAAGTAGTTCAAAATTTTACAAGTTTATAATGCTAAACCGAATAAAAATTTTTAGTTAACAATCGTTATCAACAAGCCTTATAATATTTATTAAACCGTATAAAAACTCTTTAATCAGTATGAGTTTGTAAACCGATTCTCTTGTGGTAAACAGTGATTTCCTATTTTCTAATAATTTATGAAAATAATTATTGATGATTTCGTAGAATTGTTTTGTTATTTAATTGTTTAAATTTCTTACAAAAGGCATTTTATGCGTCATTCTTTCATTATTCCAATGAATATTTAATATTTCCATATCGTTGTACACACAGGTATACAACCTGTATTTCTATTGACACAACTATGCATAAAATGCATGTACGTGATTTCCTCGTTGAATGATTTAATGATTCTCCATTGCTTACAATTAGTTAGATTTATATCTTAAATTATCTGGTAAAATAAAATCTTGACTATCGTACGTCTGCTGCGACTTTGCTCATTAAATCCAGCATTTACGTAGTACAATAATGCGATATTACGATCAAATAATTTTTTGTTTTTATATTGTGGTAAATAGAGTTGCAGTGTAAACGCGCACATTAAATTTATCGAAATGTAAAATTGTTCTTTACTTTGAAATAATATTTCGATTCACGAATCAATATTTTGAATCACTTTTGTCGAGACATTTTGTATAAAAGAATTAGTTCTTGATGCCTATTTCGGATATAATACAATCTTTTTAAACACGCGGGCACTATCATGGTTCGTGTTAAAACAGCCAAACGTTCTTCAAACAATGTAAATTGCATATCGGTTAAATTCTCATCGACAACAAAATATCATTCAGCGGCATATCGAGCTTATCGAATTACGTTGCGAAACACTTTCTCGTATTTCAAACAATGCTAATTAATGTATTGTTTTATGCAACGCCAGTAGTTTGTGTATATAATGATTATTGAACAATTTATAGTGCTGTGTGTATTGCGTCTAAATAAGATTTAGGATTTAAAGTTTCCTACAATTTTTCCGTCAAATCTCATTGTACAATTCTAATGTCACAATTAGATGACCATAAAAATGACGTACTAAAAAAATTTTTTTAAATCACTTATTGAAAATAACTTTTACAACATAAGCGTTAATTTCAACAAAAGTCCATACGTATTTTGTTTGTAATTTTCGCATTTTATATAAAATAGATGCTCATAACGAGTACATAATTCAAATTTTGAAGGAAAACATCGGCGCAAAATATTGAAAATGCAACTAAAACGAGCAGATCCGGAATTAATATTCCATCACGATTAACTTTGTGACCGATCTGGGAAGATGCCATAGAGATACACTTCTATCATCTCGCGCGCGTAAAATTGCAGGTTGCAAATCCGATGCGTATTTTTTGCACTCCTATGTAACGGCGCCATGTCCCGACGTGACGTTCGGCGCCGGCATCCCTCCTCTTCGGTGGACAACACAAGCGGCTTGAAAGACTTTTCTTGACTTGCGTCTTCGAGTATACGATAGTCGTTACGCTTGAGCCGTCGGTTTCGCACGATTTGCAAGCAAGAATACGAACAAACTCATTTTCTAATAACGTTCTTATTAATGTGACATTACGCGAGTGCGCCAAGTCCAGCTTTCGATCTTGTAAGCCAACCGGATTTCTGAGTAAGCACCATTCGAATTTATATATATGCGCTGCGTCGTTCAATCAGTACATCTTATGTGCGTGACAAGTCGATATCTTTAAAGATCTTTTTTTTTTTTTAATTTTCGATATCCAATAGGTTTACATAATTTAAAATTTCTTGGATACTAAGAAATTAATTGTTATCAATAATATATATCTCATGTCAGTTTAAATAATATAAAAAAATGAAAATTGATTTTACATTATATAATTTATTATTGGAATTCGGTTTTTCCATATAACCTGCGTTAATTTTTAATAAAAGGTTTTCTGATATATTTTAAAAATTCATTTTTTTCATGAAAATGTGTCTAGGGAAAGCATTTATTACAATTTTCAAATTTATCTGTTAAAGTCCACTTGAATTTAATAAAAGATTAATATTCATTTATGTTCTTAAAGTTTAATTCGCATTAAATCCTCCTTTTGAATCCTCATCTTGTTTGTCGTGGAGAAATGTCGTGAAAGAATGCATATTCCTGGCAAATTATAGTTTCATGTTTCTTGCAACTTTAATTATGTACTTAAAAAAATGCGAACTACACAGATTGGGTGTGCAAGAAATCTGCTCAAAGTTGCAGATTTTTGTGACTACATATTGCCTGTGATTTCCGCACGTAAATCATAATTGGGCCTCAGCAGGCATGATAACAGTAATAACGCGGTAATAACAGCGAAGAAAAGTTGTATCTGCGAGAGGAGTCATTGGAACATCAACATTTTCTGTGCCCTTCATAACGGGGTTTGCTGCTTCCTTTCCATTTCTGTTTTTCTTTCTCTTCGTTCAAGTTCAACGTCCTATCATTCTGTATGACGTATAACTATACAAATATTGATCATTGTCTTTCAAGACCTATTTTTGCGAAAAATGCGCTTTCTAATTATGTAAATCGTAACTACTGTTTTATCTATGTTCTGTGTTGATATGTACTTAAGTCATAACTTATCTGATACCTGAGAAAAACTGAAAATTATCTTCGCGATTCGAATGAGATAAAAAGTAATGCTAATACAACAAGATGTGTAATTACTCGTGTAAAGCATGTATACATATGTATGGTTTGAGGACTCTGTCATCAGTTCTGCGATTTCTATTCCGTTAGAAAAGTCGAAATGTGTGAGTACAATCACAACGAATAATAATAATCAATCTGCAAGTTATAAGCATTATACATTGATACCACACACCGGTTACTATTGAGCGAGTCGAGGAATGTCCGTTATTGCGAAAAACAATTTCTTGTTGAACTGTAAGTAGGAGAGGTAGAAGAAGTAGGGGAGTAGGTGAAAGGAGAAAAGAGATTAGAAATAGAAAAATACGATCACACCACTATGTACGTGTATATAAAAATTATATCATCGTATTCATCTAAAAAATAATTGCTAACCGATGTCTTCAACTTATCACTCACGTATTTATATATTTTACTATCCAATGTTACAGATATCTGAATACAAAAAAAGAAATAAAAGTTTAGCAGAACGTGGAACCAGACAGTGATATGAAGAAGACGAAAACAAACGCTTCCGAATATGGTACGTTTCTTGATAACAAATTAAATTAAAGCGATCATCAATATTATAAAACCCGATCCTATAGAAATAAGTATTAAATTCACTTGCTTATTATATTAAATCGAATTGAATACTTTGAGAAGAAAAAAAAAGAAATAGAAAACAGAATCAAAATTTCTTAGTTAATTTCATAGATTTCAACAGCACTTTAAGTTAAATTTTAAAAATGCTTTTTGTTTAGATGTTTTTATTTCTCACATTTTATTAGCTTTCTTTTTGTATTTATTTAATATTTTTTATATAATTCTTTCGTAGAATTTTGAAAAAATAAATTTCGTCATTATACACGAATCATAGCGTACCTACTCGAAATCAGTTTTAAAATCGTATCAAATTTAAAAAAAGGAAGTATTTTTTAAACATTTGTTTATGTTTAAAAGCAATGCATGTCAGAATAATGTAATGTTTAAAACATAGTTTAAACATTTGTTTTAAACATAAAGGTATTTTTATAATAACTTCGATGTAAATACGGTAAAATGCGAAAGCTACGATAAACGATAGTTTATTAATAGTATATCACCTTCCTGTTTTCGCAAGGCAAAAGTCGACTCCAAATTTTGTTAAAAATTTCTCAAATTAAAAATTGAGCGGTTTATTTCGGCGCGTACATATATAATAACGTTAGGATAAATCTGTATCGCATGACCGAGACATGGCAGCTTGAAAGGCAAGACTGACCTTTCGAGTCGCCGAAGAAGGATGTCGATGTAAGTTGGAGCGCCCAAGATCGAAGGTTATCTTCTTGGTGTCTCGAGGTTAACATTTATTTTATGGTTTACATGCACTCTCTATAGCGTTTTTCTTTTCTGCGAACTGGTTTCGTCGTCATTTTACGCCGTAATACATATTTATTACATATTTTGGTTCTACTGTCAGTGATTGTTAGCAACATCAGCAAAGTATCAATTGTTGTGAGAGGCGTTTCGCATGATTACTCTCGCATGCATAGCAATATCGAAGGCAATATATGTAACATTTAATTACAGAAGTGTAAAATAGTCATTAATCTCTTTATGATTTTTTTCGTTATCGGTTTTAATTTCTTCATTTTTTAACAACGTACTTAGAAACTGATTTTGGATAAATTTTTGCCGCCCTTTCCGTATATATAATATTTAAAAAAATACCTTTATAATATCAAGAAAATTTACCTGTGTCGACTATCGAGAAAGACATTTAATGCTTACTCTCAGATCTCATTACTCGGAAATATGCATAAAAAAGAAAGAGAGAGTACTTAACTGTTTAACTTATAAATATTTATGAATCATTTGTCATGAACAAGCAAGGTTAAACTTTTTATTACGCAGCTGGTGCGCTAGACAATTGTAATTACGGATTGATGATTTAATTTTGATTCTCTAGTACTGAACGAGGAAAATCACACATTGTTTTTCTCATCTATGAACTAATGGACTTGTTTTTTTAATTCCTATTAGATTTTTTATGTAAATGGGCGATTGTTTTCATACTACACATTATACACATGCTTGTTACCATTTTCTGGAAACCATTATATGTGTTGACAGTCATAAATTACCTGTTGTGCAAATAAAATATGACAAAGAGATATGTTTCTGATGTAAATGCACTTCCAATGCAGATGTATTTCAGTGTAAATTGCTTAATCAACCTAATCAATCTGATAGATTTGTAATGATAAATTCGTTTGAACCCTTACAAATTCTATTGCTCTCATTAAGTAAAAATATCTGTATTAGAAACAGATTTTCTTTTAACAAAGTGAATGATATTTCATTCTTCGAATCAAAATGATGATTTTATACGATTTTAGACAAGATAAATTTTTACAGCGGAATGTAAATATGTGTGTATAAATATTGCAATATTACTACATTAACCCTCAATTAGCACACCTCGGTTGGGCCACCTCAAATGCCATACTAGTGCGATTTGAGATTTTGACAACTTTTAACTGTCGTATCTTAGTCATTTTTAATAAAAATTTATGTAAAATTAGTGCACTTTATTTTACGAAAAATAAATGATTTTTATATGAAAAATTGAAATATATAAAGTGCTGAACGAAAAAAAAGTAGTGCGAATTAGCACATGTGTACTAATTGAGGGTTAAATAAAATTATTAAGAAGGTTACAATTTTATGTTAATTTTACGCTAATACAAAAATTTCTTAATGTGGAAGTCTTTGTAATTGTATATAATCTTATATATGTGTTGACTTTTATAATGCGTATGCGCATCTCTTTTTTATACGAAGCTCGACAAATAATTTTGTATTACATTACCAAATGACGTAACTGATAGCGCCCAATTATACAAAACTGATTAAGAAGTTGTAAATCAACTTAATCATTGCATAATGCAATAAATTTGTAATTAAAATCAAGTTTAAATAATGTGCGTAATTACAACGTACACCTACAATGCGCAAAAAAATTTTTCAAAAGCGATAAAGATTATGCAGATAAAGATTCTATGCAATAAAAAATTTGCATCGTATATTTTATCACAATAATAAGAAGAATGTGGCACGTCTTACGATTAATAATTGTATTAAGCTGCATCATTATTTATTGTCATTTGGTTTATATCGCCGTATGTGAGAAACAAGAATAATTTATGTGTAATTTATTTCTACACGTGAAAATAACAATCCTTTCTGCAAAAACTCGCAATCAAGATCAGCATCGTAACCTAGGATAGAACCAGTAAAAACTTAAAACCTTCAATTAATAGAATTTAATGTGAGTTTGCAAATGAAAAAAAGTGTCTCCTTAAATTGCAGCACACGTGAATACCAAGCAAGTTCCTAACGGTAAGGACGATCATGTCGATTCTAACGCAAGTGTGGACGCCGTGCAGGCCGCGATTGGCAATCTCGGCAGGTGGCAAATCATCATCTGCCTGGCGATGTCTTTGGTCAAATTTCCGGTAGCGTGGCATCAATTAGCGATCGTTTTTATGGCGCCTCATCAAGATTACAACTGCACAGAACCTGCTACTACAGAGGAATATTCCAAGGACCAATGCACAGCCAATGTTAACGGCACCCTGATAAAATGCACGGAATGGGAATACGATAGGACAATATTTCCCGAGACCATTATATCACAAGTAAGTATATCATGAGTTCGAAAATCATTGTTTTAGAATATAAACAAACGTATTCGTAAATTTGTGAGATGTAATCGAGCGACGAAATTTCCTTTTGTTTACCGGTTTGAAAATTTATTTAGAAAAGTAAAAAACTGTTATCGTTTCAGTGGAATCTGGTCTGTGATCGAACGCATTATGCAAATATTCAACAGTCCATTCTTATGTTTGGAATACTTCTCGGCAACATAATCTTTGGCAGTTTAGCAGACAGGCAAGTACACGTATTATTGAATATATGATTTCAAATCGTAAAACAGTTACAAAGAAATGAAAAATATACGAATATTCACAGATATGGCAGGAAAACGCCGCTGATAGTTTCTATTGTTCTTCAACTTTTGTCAGGTATTGGATGCGCCGTGGTACCTTGGTTTTACGCATTATTACTATTGAAGTTGTTAAGTGCCTTAGCCACTGGAGGCACGATGGTTACTAGTTACGTTATCTGTAAGTGTGTTCTTTATTTAGATGAGTATTAAGATTACAAAAAAACAGACCTTGGCAACTTTTAACGGTGGAAAAAATCGTTATAAAATATCGTTGTTATTTGTATAAAAATCAGTATTTACAATGTCAATTTAATGTTATATTAAAAACAAATTTTTTGCTAATAAGATAAGTCAATATAATGAGCATTTTAAAAAATATTTTTTAGGTATGGAAATAGTAGGTACAAAATGGCGTGCCGCCATCACCGTTTTATATCAAGTTCCATACAGTTTAGGCCATATGTCGCTGGCAGGACTCGCATTCTGGTTTCGACATTGGCAACAACTACAGATTGCCATCACACTTCCATCCATTATTCTTTTAAGTTATTGGTGGATAATACCTGAATCACCCAGATGGTTACTAGCTGTGGGAAAGCAGAGAGAAGCATGCGAGATATTGCGAAAGGGGGCCAATGTTAATAAAGTGGAAAATATAGACATTCCCGAAATAGTCAGGAAACATTGCTTGCACCAGGTAAGAGTTACAATTCTATTTATTGAAAGATTTCGACAAATAGATCCAAACGTAAGGAATATAATCAAGAAGAACAAGAAAAATTTTCCAAGAAATTAATTCCCTTTAACTCTAACATTCGCTTTTTATATTTTAGAATCTTAAGAAATCTACTCTAGATTACAAGGCTTCGTTTTTCGACTTGCTTCGCACGCCGAACATGCGAGTGAAGTCAATCTCTATTTTCTTTAACTGGATGGTTTGCGGAATGGGTTTGTTTGGCATATCACAGTACATTGGTCAGGTCGGTGGCGATATTTTCATTAATTTCGCAGTATCCGGTGCCATACAGATTCCTGGGAATTTCGTCGCTTGGTGGGCAATGAATGCATTGGGTCGACGGATTACCCTGATTTGCAGCAATTCTATAAGCGGTGTAGCCTGTCTATTCTTAATCTTCGTCTCAAATGGTGAGAAACCATACATGAATTTATTGTTATTTTCTTGTAACTTTTTGAACTTTCTTATAACATTTTTGATCAGTGAAACGAGTTCTGCACAAAAATTATTGTTATTATATCTACTACGTTATTTTACCTTTATTTTGTAAGTGTGTTAAAGTATTTTCCGTTCTGGTAAAATCTCTCTAGTCATTGGTTTACGATCTAAATTTGAATGGATCGACCAATGGACTGATGACGAAAAAAGTTCCATCCTATTGTTAAGTGGCAAAGAAAATTTACGATAAACGAGATATCTATACATATAAAATAATAAATCGTCCAAGATACATCGGTAATTCATTTTCCATAGATATGGCATGGCTAAGACTGCTCTTGGCATGCATCGGTCTTGTCGGCATGTCGGTGTCATTTACAACAGTCTACCTTTTCTCCGGAGAACTGTTTCCTACAGTCGTGAGAAACATCGGAATCGGCGCGAGTAGCATGTGTGCTAGAGTAGGCTCTATCTTAGCACCCTTTGTAGTGTCTTTGGTAAGTTTAATTATAGAGTCGATATGTAAATATAGATGTTAACAAATAACATCTCGTTTCCCATTTACATGGAGATTTGAATTAAGTTATTGTCGTAACGAAAGTCACCAACTACTAAGTTTTCTAGATTACCAATTGTAGATATTATTTTAGAATTACTTCGAAACGTGGCTATCACCCACTATATTCGGAATCTTGCCATTGATTGGGTCCTCATTATGCCTATTATTACCGGAAACTGCCGGATGTACATTACCGGAAACGCTTCAAGACGGCGAAGAATTCGGGAAGTAAGTAAAGCAAATTTTTTGCATACATAAATTGCATAAGAATTTCTTTTTGTAAAGAAAATACTTTTACATTAAGTATTATCGGTTTCTATACATGAGCATATATATACATATATATATATATATATATATATATATATATATGTATATTTATATTGCACGTAGATGAATATTGATATTTTTATGCCCTATCAATTTTCGCGTAAAAAATTTCGTCGTTTCGTAAATAATATAAATGGAACAATGACACGTGGCAAAATTGGTAATATTTAGGACGCTCTTTTTTATTTTTCATGTGCAAATTATTTTAAAAAATAACTTAATATATGCTCGTATATAATACAAATATAATCTTCGTTAAAGATTACCGTTTACATTCAAATATGTGATTTGAGTATAGTCTAAATTATAAAAGTTGTTGCTTTTTTATATGCAGGAAGCGTAAGTTGAAAGAAAAACGTGGAGATTTTGAAGCAGAAGCGACAATCTAAAGAAAAACTACCATCACATATTTCAGAAAAAGTGCGAACGCACATCGCGCGCAAACGCGTATTGAATTAAATTATCACAAGTGACCCGAGTGTTATTCAAGCGCTAGGATAAAGCGAACATATATTTAGAAATCTTATTTATTATATTACGAAAGTAATTACTTTCGTAATATTAGCAAAATTCGCTCTATGATTATTCATCTTGTCACGCGCGTTTCTATAACTCATATTTTTCATAATATTATAATTTAAAGCTGACATTTTATAGAAAATATAACAAAAAATATTTTTAGAAAAATATATGATATTATTACTGCGTTCTTCAAGAAATTCTGAAGAAAGACGTAAGGTTTAGCAGCAAGTATTAATTATATATTTTTACTGCCAAACGAATAAGTATACGTATAAGTTTATACATGATTAATGATTATCATATAAGATCTTTTACTGAATGTTTATGTATATAAATAGAAATTTGTTTTTGTAAGAAAAGCATGTTTATTTATTAAATACTTAATAAAACTCAAAAGCGACAATATTCTGTTTCCCTTAATTCTTCAAACATTATAATTGTATCTCTTTCGCGATTATTGTTATTGTGCAAAATATCTGATATCAATACTACCGATTACTTCTACTTCTCCACATGTAACATATTATACATACAAATGCTTGAAAAATTGATATCTTATTATTATATTCGTGGCAAATACTATGTGAGATTTATTTTCCGGACTTTGCTGCAGATCGTTCTTAGAAATGGTTATACGTTTGTTTTATGATTGAACAACACCTTACGCGATAAAATCCTTCCATTCAACTTGCGCAATTAAATAAATCGTGAATAATTTACGATTATCATGTAGCTATTTGTAATCTTTTAGTCTAGGAACTAAAGGTAACCTTCAGACAACGCGGACGCAGTTACAATCACAATTATCGGCGATGCAGAATAAAAGAGTCGTTCAAACTTTACAAACATAATAAAATTACGTGAGCAACACAATATAATTTTAATTTGCTTAAATTAATTTACAATTTAATCACTAAAAGAATATATAAAGTTATTGCTCCAATATCAATAATTTAATTTTAATATTTGATTGTTACCGGAAATCATTTTGCTCTAATAATTCTGAATTTTCAGCGTTTCCTTAAAACTTTGAATGTATCATTATTATTCCTACAACGCTAGTTATAAAGAATAATCCTCTTAAATATTAAAATAAATTATAATAAATGAAAGAAGACTAATATAAATCTAATAATTAATTAGAAAAGATGCCATTTTCAGTCGGACTGGACCTTGGTAGCCTAATAATAATGTTTCTGTGTTGTGTATTTTTTCTAACTCAATAAACTGCGCGTCGATTACTTATCGATCTTAAAACACAGCGATTATCAATTTTAAGTATATTATGGATTTACTGTTCTAACAAAAAGCTGTAAAACCGACAAATAATCGGCGTGCAGTTTACTGAGTTGGAAAAAGTATACAAAATTTACACAGAAATATTAATATTAGTATCAGTATTAGTATTTAATTTATATCTTGTCTTTATGACATAAATGAATTATGTGATAATTTAGTAATGACCATTTAAAGTAAGAGTATTAGAAAGAGCATTACGGAGAGAATAAAAATGAAAGAAAGAGAAATATTTATTTGCATAAATTAGCATAAATATGCATAAAAAGAAATATATCCAGAAACAATTTTTAAAAATCTATTCAAAATTAATTGAAAAAGGCGTGCATAGTTTTGTTATTAATCCGCCCATCCAAAGTTTAGACTGAATTTTTCTAATATTTTATCTAGTATCTACGTATACATTTTCTTATACCAGAGTCATCGACACTTACGACTGGAAGAAGGTATAAAAGCCGATACCGATGTGTTATAGCGTCATTCTATCTTGTTTCGTTCCAGAGAAGGCCGCTTTACCAGTTTAAGCAGTGAGTATTTTAGCAATTACGTTAAGCAATCTTTTTCCATGTATTTGAAACAATAAGTTCATTCTTAAATATAAATCTACACTATAGATAAATCGATAAAATCAGGAAACTTTAACTAATCTCATTATATCTGAATATATCTGTATATAAATAATAAGTATGTATATTCTTTATTGCTTCATATTTTGATATTTTCTGAAGTTAATGTAACATATATAATTATAATTAAAACTTGATTGCGATATCTTTCTTTTCAGGATCCATTATATTACAATAGCAATATTCAATATCAAAAAACTTTATATAATTAAAGTTTTAAGATAATATTTTTGTTCAAATGAAACTTACGTAATATTAAATAAAATTATATTTTGGTATTTTTTAATACTTAAATTTAATTTAAAACTTAATTCTGTTCTTCATCTTCAAGTGCATATAATTAAAAAATAATATTTATATTTCTACATTTTCATAAGCAGCTGCGCTATAGATTAAAATGAGAACTTGTAAATCTCTGAGAAGAACCTGTTCTTCTCAGAAAAAAAAGTTGCTTCAATTTGTATCTTGCCGTAGGCAATACCGTGGTAAAAATATTCAGGCACCACTTTGTGACATTGACATGGACGCTGACATTGACATTTACAAGTTCTGAGAATCAATATGCTATAGATTTCTTATAGACATAACAAAGAATATTATAGACTAAATAATAGAAAATTATAAATTAATGCAAATATTCTCACTTACATCTGGTTAAAATAATCGTGAAATTTTGACTTAATTCTAAATAGTAGTAAACAATGCAAGTGCATATTATATAAATATTATAATAATAGATATTCTTGATACCCATAAATATCAACATGATTTTTCTGATTTTCCAGTTTCCTGATTTTAATACGTGCATGTGCATCTCTAATAAATCATAATCATTGTTGTCATATAATCATTTTCTTCATATAAACGATATGTCTTGCAGTAATTACAAAGAATTATCTGTTAAGTGTATATTATTAATTATTACTTATTGTATCCAATGCCTAAGAGTGATAGTCACTTGTGATTATATTATGATTGAGCATTACAGATACTCAACATTTAATTTCGTGTCAGAATAAATAAAAATTTATAATTATTCTTTTTCTAGTTAAAAATTATTCACTATATGCAGATATATTTTTATACTTTAGTCTACAATTCTAAATTATATCGACTAAAGGTTACAGGCTACAAGTACGCTTGCAATAATCGTTATTTGTACGAAGATTGATTTTTTTTGCAGATATGTTCTACTTGCTGTTCCTGGCCTGCCTGGCCATGGCAACCGGTCACACCTTTAATACCGTTTATTCGTGGAAGCAGGTCGAATTCAAACTGCCAAATGATACCATCCGAAACGAGTACATAGCTTCCGGCGATTACATTCCGGAAAATAACATGCCATTAGGTTTGGCCATTTGGCACAAAAAAATGTTCGTCACGGTACCGCGGTGGAAGAAAGGTGTTTTAGCTACTTTAAATAGCTTTTCAATGAGCGACAACAAGCGTAAGTAAATATAGCTAAACAAAGTTTACTAAAGTACGTATAACGTACACTTGTTTTATATTACGCATTTTGCGATGTATACAATGCCAAGTTTATGTTTGATATAATATTAAGTTGATTATCAATTTAATCACGTGTACTATTTTCCACTTTGGCTTGAGACTGTGTTTCAACCGACATTACTCGGTACGCAATTTGTTGAGCTGGAAAAAGATGTATATGCAAAAATATTATTAAACATAAAGATCCAGTCCGACTGTTAAAAGGCGCATTTCACTATTTGTGTTATTTTCATAAATGGTCAAGTTCACCTATTATTATATCATTTTTAATAATTTATATAGACAGTCCAGCCTTAATACCGTATCCTGATCTTGAAGCAAATAACATTAGTTCCCCTGATGGCCTCGTAAACATATTCCGTCTCAGAATCGATGCTTGCGATCGTATGTGGGGTCTTGACACAGGAGTAGACGATATTTTGGGGGACTTCAAAGTCGTGCGACCGATGAGACTTATTGTTATCGATTTAAAAACAAACATGGTATTGTTTATCAAAAAATTATAAATGTCTACAATCGATATTAATTCTAGAAATCTATCAATATGTGTTTCTATACGTCTCAAATTTGTATTGCAAGTTATTTCATTTATCCATCTGTACGCATTGCAGATTATACGTAGATATACCTTGAAAGATACGGATGTAAAACCGGAGTCTTTCATTGCCGATCTTGCGGTCGATGTTGCACCGGGACAATGCGACAAAGCATACGCGTATATGAGTGACTTAGGCGAATATGGCATAGTGGTGTACAGTTGGGAAAAGAACGATTCTTGGCGGATTAATCATCACTTCTTCCATTTCGATCCATTGAACGGTAATGTTAAAAAAATACTATATATTATCGATGCATCGTAGTTAGGATTTCAAGCCATTAATCGAAAGACTAATCTGATTAATTTTCAAAGATAACAGATAAGACTTTTTTTCGTTAAAATTTATTTTATTGTCTTGTGATCAGCTTGACTGTTTCTGGTAATTATTCTGGCAGGTGACTTCAATATTAGCGGCTATAACTTCCAGTGGACTGACGGTGTTTTTGGATTGTCGTTAACGCCGATTGATGCCGATGGGAATAGAATGCTTTATTTCCATTCCATGGCCGGTATCACGGAATTTTCTGTGCCTACGGATATTCTGCAGGACAATCAATTGAAAAAATCAGGGGTCTACAGTAATTTCCACATTGTTGGTACCAAGGGACCATTGACGCAAGGACCATCTTCTATTATTGACCCGAAAACATGTATTAACTATTTTGCTCAGGTAAACAGAAACGGTATTGCGTGTTGGGATATTACGAAGGAATTGAATCCGGAAACATTCAGTAAGTATTATATGATAAAATTATTAACTATATTTGCATTTATAACATATCATTTTTTTATCTAATTTTCCATCTTTGTAAAGTTAGTAGAATCCCCTTATACACGACAAAAAATTTTATAAAGTTAACTTATTGCTATCTTTTATTAACTGATAATATTGATCATTTATCTTTCAATGCATTAAGTTTCAAAAATAATTAATATTTAGCAAGTTGCAAAATTTTACACCATTTGTATCATTCGACAAAATTTTATAATATTGAAATGATCTACAATGTAGTTCATATATTTCATCAGAGATGTCTCTAAAGTCCACAAATAGCAAAGTATATATACCTTTCGTTGAAATACTCCACCATCGCTAGCTTCTATAAGCACAATTAAAAATATTTTAACAAAATTAAATAAATAATAAATCATTATAATCTATTTCACTGTTATATAAATTCGTATTTTTTATGTAAAAATCACGCGTAATTTTTATTTGCAGAATTGGTGGCGCAGGACAACACAACATTAGTGTTTCCTCAGGATGTAGTTATCGATAATGAGTCTCGAAAATTATACGTGCTCTCTAATAATTTACAGAAATTTATGTATGACAGCTTCGATCCATTGACGACAAACTTTTTCATTACTTCAGCTGATCTCGACACATTAACACCTATGTGCAAAGATAATGCAGCGAAATCATAAAAGTCACGAAAAAAGACATTCTAAATTCAATTATATATGCATATAACACCGTATATAATGACAAATGTACTATAAACTCTGCTTTATATTTGCAAATTGTAAAATATCAAATGTTTCTTAAGTAGTTGTATTACTCTTGTATCAATGTTTGCAGATTTAATTGTAATTTTTTCTTCATTAAACGTGTCATATTATTAATTTAGCATCTATGATTGACCGCCCTTCTTTTCATTAAATTAAATCAAAGAAGAGGGTTCCTATATACATAATTTTATACAAAATATTCAACTCGCCATAAAGTTCTTTCTAGCAAGTAACAGAATACATGTGTCATGTATAAACCCGTTAGCTTTCCTTATATATTCTCTTCGATAAAATTGATCATATACTTCCTCCCTCATCACGTCTTATTTCTTTCTCGCCCAGTCTTAAACATATCAAATGTAAAAAAGTTGAAGTAAAAAAGACCATTTTCCGTTATTTTATAACATATGATAAGCAATCGGCAGGAAAGGATCAATTCGCAACTAATTAGAAGCGCGGGATATATTTTCGATCGCGGCGAGTATCGCGGAATTGAAATTTCAGCGTGTCATTTTAAAATAAGCCGTCAACTATGTCGCTGGCTAGTCAATCCCTTGATAATTCAAGGAACTTTTAACTGCAACCTTTATAACTCCCGTGGTAGCTTCCGCCTCTCCCTTCTCCCGTCAAACCCGTCCTAGGAGCGCTACTTTCTTCCGCCCCCTTTACGACTGGTCTACTCTCTCTTTACGGAGCTGTACATCCTAAATAATTGATCCTAACGTAGTTGCCGGTGTTTTTATAACTGTTTTACCGCCCGCTCTCGCCGCTGTGATATACATTATTTAGCCGTCGGTTTTTAAAGCGAAGTCGCCGGGGCGCGGAGGTGCGAAAAGACTGAAGGCCTATTCGTCGCCGCGCGTCTGCAGAATTAAAATGTATGCCAGCGGTCGTCGCTACCTACATTCAATTAAATCGCCGGATTTCGCGCGGCGCCATTAACCGCGGCAAGTAATCTCTCCGTGGAATAAGAAAACGGCTATTGCAGAGATTGCGTCTCCCACCTTTATAACAGTCCTCGCCGGATTATACGAGGAGAGGGCCCGTATTCACGCTCCATCGAACTCCAGTATGCGATATGGAACTTCTAAGGTATCTTTCGGTAAATCAAATTATATGCATACTGATACGATAATATCGATCACTTTTATTGAAGCCGAATGATTTGCATATAAACGAGACACAATCTTTTTTTCTGTATGTAAACGATATTCATATATATCCTTTTCCTCTCTTCTTCCTCTCCCCACTCTCTCTCTCTCTCTTTCTCTCTAATACTTTTACCAAGTAACACCATTATATAAATTATTCGCGAGACACCACAAGACCCTCGATTCGCGCAGTTGTCGGTACAAACAATACGTATATATCTCGTCACACATTTTACAGCTGCTCGTACCCGAGAAGCCTCCACATGACCCGTTTCCACATGACCCTGCCCCCTTCCCTGAATTTCAGTTCCACCGCTCAAATATTCACGATTTGTCAACTCTGTTAAATTATTCATTTCCCGCAGGTATCTTTGTTATCTTATCGATAAGTCGAAAGATGAAGGACAAGTGGATTCCAATAGGAATCGCCGTTTCCTATCTTCGCTCGTACCGCCCTCCATCCTCCGTCTACCTACCCCCCCCCCCCCCCCTGCCACGCTCCTAAGAATGAAGGTGTAGAATGCAGAATGCAACGTCGTGCTCTTGCAGAGAGCACTTTGACACGGCCCCACGGGTACATTACTAGGATTGCTGCCACCAATTGAACTCCCCCAACTCGCCGAGACCCCGGCCCCGAGTCCCTTATATCTGCAAACACAGCCGCCCGAGGCGACACCGCCGTTCAAACACTCAATCGCTCGATTCACAACGCTGAAGTAACTTGAAATTCTCCATTGTTAATGTTATTTGACTTATCCGCGCTGATGCCGGCGCTGATCTCTATAATAGGTAATACCGTGAAAGGATTCGTGTGCCGGCATTGTTCGGTTAAGTTTTGCGAGCGCTATGATTAAGGCCCACCTACCCTCTACGTCGGTGATGTATCAGTAGATTGTGTAGGTATCCTCAGGAATAACACAAATTTATAACGGAAAATTTATAGAATATCTCATATGCAATTTTTGAATTTCAAAGCTTCTTTTTATATTTCAAAATTTCTTTTTATATTTTCAGTCTGACGCGAACTATTGCTTCCATAAGTGATGAGAAAGATACGAAATTCAGGATTTGCTGATATTGATAATTTTTAGTATTACGTATTAATTTTTTATAAAACAAGTACGTTTACAAATTGTTACTTAAATTTATACCGTATGCAAATATTTCGTATTAATTTGGAAAGTATATTTCTGGATCTCTGTTATATTTATTTGTATTTGCGGAAGTACAATTGATTGCGCCGTATGAAACTAGAACAACTGTTTAAAGATTGTAAATTCGAGTTGCTTAAAAATCGTACGTTTCATGCATAATAAGTGTAATATCTCTACGGGGAATTGCATTTCTCGTTTTTTCAGTACTGTTGCATTCCACGTACCGTGCGAACGCTATCCCGCGATACGTTTAGTCCCACGTGTATGGCGCCGCGCTACTTTGTGCGTTATTTATGAATATTTATAATACCTCGTGTAAAAATTTCATCAAGAAACATATGCACATTTCTTACGATTCTGTTAAACAACATTTTGTATCTAACCCTTTATTACGAATAACGCGAATGAAAGAGAAGTGATCCAAGCATGTCGACACGCTCGCGAGACGAATAAGATGTTGCTATCTAAACAGATTCTACTTGCGATTAATCACAATGGTGATCTCGCGCCATCTCATATCAAAAGAATAAATTTATTTGAAAACGCTCGTATTCGTGAGCACTCTGTATCCGCGCGAGAGAAACCTTCCCGCGTACGACCGATTACACGTCATCGAAATCCACGATCGAGGGATCTCAAGTAGCGATCGTCGGACAGATATATCCGCTAATACACTGCTTCTCGCGCCCATAGTACCACTTTATACGACCGAAATTCCCAGTAAGATGCAGGAGGACACCGGCAGGGCGGGGAGGAATTCGTAATACGGAGGGCCGCTCTACGACTCCGCTGGGAGGAATTCCGGGGTACGTTTTAAATTGCTGCATCCCCAACCTTCTTGTTTATGTATGCTACCGTGTTTCTTATTCTTGTGCGGCAGCGAAGGAGAGCGCGCGCCCCCCCTAACTTTATGTGCACAGTGCCGACATAAGTATGCAATCTATGCGTCGGTGTGGCCCGCGTGGGCACGTGTGAGTGCCACGTGTGTACGTGTACATGTGTTCGTGGTGTACATACGTGTGGTGTGTGCGTATGTGTACGCGCGCATGTGTGTATATGCGTGGAAAGCGGCACGACTGTAGCCTGAGGAAAACGTGCCACACACGCGTAACGTCGCGCGCGCACGTACGTGTGTATTGTATGGCGAAACGTGGCCCTATGTTTTCTCCCGCCGTGTATTTGGATCTCCCTACGATCCGCGCGTTTCCTCCCGTGGATTCTTTTCGTGTTTCGAAACAGCCCAGACTCTTCCTCCGTATTTCCACCCTCGCCACCGCCGCCACCGGGGCGCACTCTTTCGTTCCTATCTCTCCGCCACAATTGCTGTAATCTACGATCTAGGGTGGTGGATTTAACTGTGGATCTCAGCCACGGTAATTTGTAAAGTTTTTAATATTGCAGGCTCGAACGGAAACGACGGTGCGGAAATGATTTTCTAAGAGCGGCAATTAAAGAATGACAAATGCCAGATCGGATTATAGAATTAGCTTGATAATTTTGTACAATTTTAATAACACAACGCAATTTAACGCGTCACTTTAAACATATTATTTTAATTATTTCGACCGTTAATCATTTCTACGAAATATGGCTAAATGTCATCAGTTTATTCGACCTTTACGACAAAAGAGTCATAAATTTAAATAATAATGATATGTTTTCGCACTTATATCGGAATAGAAAGTTTCTTGAAAGCTATCATCCTAGAACATCATAATTCGTTATTAAATAATTAGTTATTCTATATCAGGTACATATACCTGTGTTCTACAAACATAAAAAGATTACTTATAAAAATGTCCTAATTATGAATCATAAAATATAGCATTATTAAAAATGAAAATTATAATTAATTACTTTTGTTTGGAGGGATCTTTCATTTTATTTATTTATATTATAAAATACGCCCGAAAATGTGTAGTTTAATATATAAAATTTAAATCACGCGTATTGCATGTTAATAATTACTTTACGTATAATGATAAAATATATTTTTAAAAATTACAGTCGAAATAAAAATGAAAAGATTTTTGAGATTTCTCTTCTATATAATGATGTTATACCAATACTGTTTATTTTTTGTTAAAGTGAATAATTATCATGCAGATGATGCATGAAGTAGAAATGCTTTTATTGCGCAATGAACGAAAATGTCTGTATAACAATGTACATATTTCTTATTAGGTTAATAAATATAATTATCAACTTCTTGTTAAGAGTGTGAAAATATCGTATCACACATGATAATTATACGAGATAACATGAAGAGAGAGGGAGAGAGAGAGAGAGAAGGAGAGAGAGAAAAAAGAGACATGCATGGCACGGTTACTTTTTATAAGGAATCGAAGCATTGAATGTGTATGTGCAAACAATTATAAACATCTTTATTCCTCATATAATTTCACGAGCCAACGAATTGTGCGGATTATACTTTTAATGACAAAAAATTATGGGATGTCTTTATAATGAGCATTTTTCAGCAATATAGTCTGTGTTGCCAAAATAAAGAATAAAGCAAATCAATAGACTAATAAGAAAAATATCCTAAAATTACCGATTTATTGAATTAAATTTTTTGCTTTTAAATATTCATAATAATCAGTCACATTTTTCGTAAAACTTTTCTTTTAATAAATAAAATCTTCAATTTCACAAAACAGCGTAAATAAAATGCAGCTTTTGTAAAAACGTAAGACATTTACACGCTTATCAATGTGGTAAAAAAATTATAATATCTATGATAAATAAAAATTTTTTGTCATTTCATAGAAGTAATTCTTCTCTCGAAATTATCATTTTGTGGAAGTGC